GAATAATGATCTGTGTTAAATAATAAAGGAAGCCAATAAATTTAAAATGGAATTTCAAGTGGTGGAAGAATTAAAGTAAATCATAATACACCTATGGCAACGGCAAATAACCTAAAAAAGAAAACAAATGCAAATGCACTGGGCCAAATTAAGAAACGATGGCAAGATAAGCCCCTTCTGTGTCAATAATCTGCCCACGCCAAGCAAGCTGATATCGACAAACCCCGTACCAATCAGTGGTTATGTAGTGCAGGGTTAAAAACTGAAACTGAAAGTTTTATACTTGCTAAACAGGATTAATGCTTGCTCACCAGAAATTACCAAGCAGACATACGGAAAAATTGTGTTAACCCGAAATGCAGATTCTGTGATAAATATCCAAAAACAATTGGCCATTTTGTATCAGGTTGGGCAGTATGGGCAGCTACTGAATATAAAATTCGGCATGACAGAGTAGGCCAATATCGGCACTAAAAAAATGTCTAACTTTTACGGAAAGAAAACTGCAAGACATTGGTATAGACATCATCCAGACCCGATTTCAGACTTAAAACAATTTTATCCACACAGAACAATCAAAGCTAATCGACCAGATATTTGGGATCAAAGATCACTAAAACAGAATGTGCTTTCTTATTGATATGACAGTTCCCGCAGAGTGCAATGTATCTTTGAAGATCTTTAAAAAAAACCTATTAAGAAGAGTTTTGTCTCTGTAAAATGTGTGTGGTCATAGGTTGTCTTATTTTTTAACCAAAAATACTCAGTGGAAAATGTCATGATGCCATTTCTGACCTTAGGTCTCTGGTCGGGACCCGGAAGAAATTGTGTATAAAACAGAAATCAAAGAAAATAAATAAATAATAATTTGTTAATATTTCTTCGTCATTGGTTATATTTTATCGCAACTACTCGAAACTATCACACTCCGGCTAAATCATAGAATTATTTTAGCTTGAATTATTTGTCAATGATAATTAAATTTAATGTTAATTTTAATTGCTTTTTATCTTGATTCAAACTCTTATTCCTCATCTATTAGGAAACTGAAAGGACGGTATAAAAATAATAAGCTCTCGTCAAGACCCGAATTCGCATCGTTTTTGTCTCGGGCAACTTGTCCTTATTGTTCAAGTGAAAGACAAAGAAACGAAAAGTATGGATCACATTCAAGCCTAGCTGAAAGTTATACTTTATTTCTTTCGTTCGAAGACTAGCGTTGTGAACAGATGCGACAAAAAGGTAATTGAAATCAAAATGCAACTTTTTGCTGCATTTTGATTTCAAATCATTTTGACAAATTGAGAGTAGTCGAACTAAAAATAAAATTCAAGATAATATTTCTCTATGTAGAAGCAATTCCATCATTTGTCGAAGCTTCGCGTTCTTTCCAAATCAATGATCTTTTCTTTTTTTGTCTCTTGCGGTCAATGGCGATTTTATACCTGTTCAAGGCAATGATGTTAAAACAGAAGCTTCGCATAACATTTCAACAAGTCATCCTTTGTGGGTGGGGGCACTTTTCCTGCCTCGACCTACGTCAGCAGACGGGAGATTCGATTGCAGCATTAAAAAAGAGGTGAACTAATTTTTAGCTTTACGGCCCGAATGATATTCGCAGCGTTGGTGATATCATTCAGTCATGTGACACGGTTCGATCACGTGATGTCATTCGATCATGTGATTCGATTTGTTTCCGGACCGGACCGGGAGTTTCCGGTTCGTTTTTCCTCGAACTCATCCGGAATTTCGTGACTAATAAAGATTTGCAGCGACGAGGGAAAAGATGGAAGAAGTTGGTGGGGATAGATAGGCGGAATGTTGTGGGGGGGAGGGACGCTTGGAGGAGCCGGGTTTGTGGGTGGGAAAAGGAATTGCAGGAGAAATGGTGCGGAAAGATTTCCGAAGACTGCATCAAGATTGAGAGAGCGAAAGAGGGAGGGAGGAAAGTAGAGAGAGAGAGAGGGAGGGAGGAGAGAGAGAGAGAGAGAGAGAGAGAGAGAGATGTTGAGTGAGATGGAAATAAAAATAGACCGAAGGAAAAAGAAGGGAGAGAATTTCTTTGGCATTCCGACGCAAAGTACCACAGATGAACTCATTATGGCGATGCATTCAGCGTGCCTGTAGATTTTATAAGTATCTAGAAAATATTGGAATAAAAGCACAGACATAAAATTCTGTACATATCTTAGTCTGTTGGTATATCTCCCGCGTCTTTCTCTCTCTCTGTCTCTCAGTCTCTGTCTGTCTATCTGTCTCTCTCTCACGATATATATATATATATATATATATATATATATATATATATATATAGAGAGAGAGAAAAAATAAAGAGAGGGTAATATCTATTTTATTCTATCTATCTATCTATCTATCTATATATATATATATATATATATATATATATATATATATATACATATATATATATAGGGACTGCAAAAGTAGATATACAGTATTATACGATTATTGATTTTATTATAGATATGTTTGTATAATCAATACAATACGTTATGTGGGCACGTTTTGTTTTTTTATTACTGTATACCTACTTTTATATATATATATATATATAAAGAAGAGGTTATCGTAGTTCCAACGAGAGAAAAGTGTGTATATTAAAAAGAAAAGAGATACCGCAAACGTTTTTGGTTGTAATATGGATTTAAAAAAAGATGCTTTATTATCCATAATTTTACTACACGTGTTTCTGGTCTCGCGACCGTCATCAAGTAAAGGGTGGATATTTCTACATATTTTTCCTCCTTTATGTTTTTCGATGTTAAATATTCTCGATATAAGACATTCTCTGTTTTTGTGTTAGTAATCCGAATGTCTTTCTTGAATTGGCAGTGAAGAGTTCTGCGCGAAGGGTCATAAAACAATTAAGATTGGTCCAAGAGAAATGATGAATTACTTATCGGTATCTTATCTTTTAATCTTTTAATGACCCCTGTTTGTTCTTAGATCTATTTCCATTTTCGAGTGTTTCTGTCAGCATACGTGTATACATGTGTATATTCCATCTCCATACATACACACTGTCGCACTACGAGGAATTAGTAAACACATTTATACACACACACACACACACACACCGTCCCACTACAAGGAATCAGTACATATAAACACACATACATGTATATATATATATATATGTATAATTCAAATTTTAAATTTTTAAATTCACATCATCCCTCATTCGTATGCATGTGTAGTCGAACCAACATAACAAATTTAGTCAGATGAAGTTTCAAAGGACGAAATTGTTTTTGTTATTTTGTAGACTGCATACCATAGTAGAGTCAGTTGGGCAACGTTTGTGAGAAGAGAGCACGATGACGCAATTCACTCCGCTAGTAATTTGTAAAGGGCATGTGCGCCGGAAGATCCAATACGAACATTTTATAGTGGCTGGGTGTCAATCTGGGTGTACAGAGGATTTGGAAAGAGTTGGATGAGTCTAATGGTGATTACAAAGGTACAGCAGCTCGGATAAACAATCTCTGATCTTTCTTATAAGAAAAGAAAACGAGAATTTGTTGGTGAGTGCCCTAGACTCAACATAATGGCCCTATATCAAGTGCCTTGAGAAGAGGTAGTTCTGCTCTGGCCCAAGCGATTAGCTGCTGAAAGATTCTATGTCTAGCAACAGGACTCTGCACCATGACACACAAGCGGGAGAACCCAATCATGGCTGTCTGACAATTTTTGGAACCACATCACACCTTACATTTGGACACCTAAATCTCCAGACTGCACCCACCCATTGATTAAAGTGTGGGGCGTAGTTGAGCGAGAGACAAGCAAAACTCCTCGTAACACGAAAGATGAACTGAAAGCAAGGATTAGAGCATCATTCACCAACTTAAATAAGGAAGCTGTCCAGAAAAAATGGTCAGGTGGTTGTGGTTTTATTAAATAACACCAAGGTTTGACTCTGCAACTTTTATATTGTCGTTCCAATATACATACATACATACACACACACACACATATATATATATGAAGTGTATACAGTATTTTTTACTTATGTTTCAAAAAGAAATTGGTGCTGATATTTCACACCTATTTTTCAGACTTTATACATACATACATACATACATACATACATATATATATATATGTGTGTGTGTGTGTGTGCATGTATGTAGAGAGAGAGAGAGAGAGAGAGAGAGAGAGAGAGAGAGTACAGGTCATAATTCCGTTGGTATATAATCTGACGCATTGATGTTAGTTGAAATAGTCTAGATTCATGAGGTAATTTGGGATTTCTCTATTATATATATATATATATATATATATATATATATATATATATATATATATATATACAGTTATAATGATAATATATTAATATATAATCCAACTGAATTAAATGTAACCTCTATCTTTGATATTGAGCGCTTTCCAATAAGTACCGCGCATATAATATTTAAATAATATATATAATATATTGCACATATTCGATTCTCCCGTCGAATTCGACGTATGGGTGTCAAGCAGATCAATTCCTAGGAAACTGACAGCCCGACGCCTGCACGGAAGATTTGATTATAGTGGTGAAGGTTTTTTGCAGAACCATCCACACTTTTTGAATGACTACAGAGACCTGGTGCACTAGGTGCCACAGGGTCCCCAAACGACCCTTCGCAGGTTTTGAATTCAAAGTTGTCCTTCTCTAGATCAGTTGCTATCCAAGGCTATAGAACCCAGTCTGTCCTGCTATTTACCCATAACTGGAGGGAAAAGAAGAGGATTCACATCTCTCCCAAGGGTATTAGCGAGTAAGTGAATATATATATATATATATATATATATATATATATATATATATATATATATATATATATGTATGTATTATACATCTATAGAAAACATTTAGTATCATGTTACACCCTAAGGAATACAAAACATTTCGTACTCAAGTGTATTGCTGAGAAGATCCTCTCCGAAAAAACTTATAAATGACTCAAGACCACAACAGCTATTTTTCACAAATGCATCCACGACTTACATGTGCAGTACTCCAATATCAGGAACTGCTCAATAATGACGAGGCTGCATCGATCGGCAGAAGGCTACGTAGTGAAAACATTCTTTCCAATTCCAGAGCCGAAAGCTTGAGACAAACGATTTCATAAATAAACAACAAATAATTCATCTCTAACACTAGCTTCGCAACCTTTGCCATCACAGCTGATGAAGAGAGATCTGTAATTCGAATCATGTTCATATCTCTAGCCTTAAACTTTCTAGCACTGAGATGGAAGCTTTAAGTCTCGCCTTAAAATTTCCAGCTGAATTAAAGGAGACACTCTTATCACCTTAACGACAAACCAGAGATTTGACGACACAAAATTAAAAAAAAAGGAGTTTTAAACTATCATAGCAGCCACCTTTACAAATATTGATAAAAGAACTTGACTCAGTTGCATGCAAAACATAACTATGAATAAAATCATGACCCGATCCGATAAAAGTAGGTGGAATGGTCATTAAAGATATCAACAACTACAATGAAAAATTGGCATGACTCTTAAATGACCAGAATATTTACATAAAAATCAACGGACAAACATGCAGTTATGGATTAAATTGTAGAATTTGTATCTGGAAAAATCGTTGTTTTCTAAAAATATGTTAAGACGATATTCTCGCGCCAAAGTAATTATATATACAATTCAAAATATTTCAAGTTTAAATAAACCACAAACGATTGATAAACTGTAAAATGTCAATAAATGAAGCATGATCATTAGCGTGAAACTGACAGTCATTATGCAGTGTTGATTTTCATTAGATCTATCTATCTATCTATCTATCTATCTATCTATCTATCTATCTATCTATCTATTCATTTTTATCTATCTATCTATATCTTCCTCTCGCTCTATCTACCTATTCATTTCTATCAATCTATCTACTCATTTCTATCTATCTATCTATCTATCTATCTATCTATCTATCTATCTATCTATCTATCTATCTCTATTAATTTCTATATCTCTTTCTCTATTCATTTCTATCTATCTATTTATTCATTTCTATCTATGTATCTATTCATTTATATCTATTTCTCGCTCTATCTATCTATCTATCTATCTACAGGCATGCGTGTGCGCACACACACACGAACGTATAAATTTAATTTACTTCTTTCCAAGTTGAAGCGTTCCATTTTGACCTCGTTTTCCATTTTAAACACATTAACATTCGAAAAAGCATAACAATTCTTATTAACTTTGCCTCTAACTATTTTCTAATTTAAACCAGTTGACTGACATCTTTTTCATTTTCAGCATTCCCTTCAACTAAAACCCTTTTATTGGCATTTAACTTGCTTATTACACGAGTCTTTTCTACATAGACGCTTAAATTTCATCTATAACCTGCTATCCATAATCACACGCATATATTTAATGAGAGTGAATGTTGTGTGATGCGGAAACAAACAGTTTCACTACTTTATACATCAACATATAAATATCACACCGAAGCCATTAAAAGAGGAAGGTTCTCTTGTGGCAAAAAATAACACAAACTGTTAACACTTGGACATGGCAAAAATGAATGCTAAGGTAAAAAGGATGGCAAGAATAACAGTAACTTTAATGTTACAACTTATTGATTCTGGATTGTCCCACGGGACAAAGGCCTAGAGGATTAAAGCGTTCTTTATTGAATGCGGCGACATAATAACTGTGAGTTCAATCCCAGACACAGGATTAGCAATAACTGAAAGATTAAACCGGATGATATATCCTAAGACAAAGGCAGTGGAATAAGAAAAATCTACATCCACAACTTGAATAAAGGCTCCGGTTCAAATTTCCCTGAACATTAACCGGATCGACAAAAACCTGAAGACGGTCACAACAGCTGAAACGTTGTGATCATAACAACAATGATGAAGACATCAGTCAACAGTCAATAATGTTAACAACTTTACCGCCGTCATTTGCAATTTTCAAAATTGTTTTTTCTTAACTTCCTGTCTTCGAACAAAACGTCTTACTTTACGAGGGTCGGCTGAAAAGATTCATTGGCTGACTATGAAAGAGTGATGCTTGAGCTGTGAAATCTTGGATGCATTAATTTCAACTCTTCTTAAAAATCGCAAGAACACTAAAATTTAAAACCAAAACAAAAATAGCATGAAAATTAAGAAACCAAAAACTTATAACAACACTTCAAAATCGTGTATCCTTTGCCTACAAAGATAAATCAGCAAAAATTTTACAGAATAATATAAGCTCATCTACAAATGCAGGCAAGAAAGTAAATTCCTATTACGTTACCTACAACCATATCATGAATGTAAATACGAAAGAACTAATATTTACTAATTTAAAATAAAAGTAAATAAAACAAAGTCCGAATTAAAAAAAAAATCCTAAAATATTAGCTCTAAAAATGTGTGAGAAAAAAACAGTTTCCCTCACCTTCCATTATTGGTAAGCCGGCATTGGCCTACATCGCCAGCCTTCACAAGGAGATGCCTGATAATTAATCGCTTAAGGCTTAATAGCTATGCACCGTTGATTTCTGTACCCACACTGCAAGCACCCTATCCCACTGAGTAGCTCCACCCCAAATATGGCAATAATACCCTATGTTTGATCTTGGTAGAAGGGGTCGTGGAGTGAGGTGGGTATATAGATTCAAAGCCTTGGCGAGGGTGAATTACTGTGGGGGCAAACGTTTATTGTGTGTGGGTTAGGGTTAAGGTTTATCTGATGTCTGATGTACCCGATTGGAAATGATGAAACATTACTAGCGAATAGGATCCGTATTCAATTCTCGTCGGAAACAACTTTATTTCTTACTGTTTGAGTGGCTGAAGAGTGTATCTACTCATAGTTTTCTGATAAAAATTGACAAAAGCAAAATGGAATAAAACTTGTAGTATTAAAATGTTACCAACAGGAAGCCCTATCTTACAAAATAAAAAAAAATCGATTGCTAAAGTAGGGGAAATAAATAAGATGTTTTAAGGAATTTCGATTTCATTTTTATTTGATTATAATTTAAAAAGAATGTTTTGTCATATGAATTTCTTCGTTTTTTCCATTTATTTTAATCCATTATTTAAATAAAAAAATATTCGCTTTCGCTGTTCATAACTTTTTGCCAACGATTCACTAACTTACCAATGCCTTGACGGTACAAATCACCGAGATTTGACTCGAAGAATTCTTCGAGAACTCTTTTTCATCTCTACGTTGTTTTTGAACAAAACGCTGAAAAGCGTGACCGAAAAACGTGATAATCTGAAAGCGCAAAATCAAAAGAATATGGTGGATGCGGTAAAACTTTCCAACCAAAATCTTAAATAACATTTTTAATCAGATTAGAAACATAGGAACGAGCGTTGGCGTGTTGATGCATTTGGTATATTTTACGGATTTCTAGATTATTTAAATCTGAAATATATCTTTTAAATTTTAAGAATATTTCTTTTTTTTTGGATTCATACCATTCCCAAGGGTATTTAAGTGTACGGGAATATAAGGAAACTGACGGGAATTCGAACTGTGCACTCCAATTTCATACTCTGAACCATTATTCATTATACGAGCTGACAGTACGTGATATTCCAAAGTGGTCACCCATCTACGGCCTGACCAAGCTCGACGTTGCTTAACTTCGGTGATTGTACGAGAATCGGTATATCCATATGATATGAAACTAAGCGGTCGTGTTAGAGAAACAGGTATGAAAAGGCCTTTGCTATTCGTTTGTACTTATTTTCTAGAAGGAGACATATAGGCCTTTGTTCTTCGTTTGTACTTATTTCCTAGAAGGAAACATATAGGCCTTTGCTATTCGTTTGTACTTATTTCCTAGAAGGAGGCCTCTGTATGCCTTTGTTCTGCCTTTGTACTTATTTTCTAGAAGTAGGCCTATTGATCTTTTCTCTTTGTTTATACTTATTTCCTAGAAGGAGATTTATAGGTCTTTTCTCTTCGTTTGTACTTTTTTCTAGAAGGGGGCCTATATATACCTTTGCTCTACCTTTGTACTTATTTTCTAGAAGTAGGCCTATAGACCTTTGCTGTTCGTTTGTACTTATTTTCTAGAAGTATGCCTATAGGCTTTTTCTCATCGTTTGTACTTATTTTCTAGAAGGAGACCTATAGTCCTTTGCTCTTTGTTTGTACTTATTTCCTAGTAGGAGACATATAGGCCTTTGCTCTTCGTTTGTACTTATTTTCTTGACGGAGGCCACATCTAAGACTTATATAGACAGAAGCTTATGTCTTGAGAAGAATAAAGAAGATGATGTTTTCTGATTTCCTTTGAAAATTAATAACAGTAACGATTTTAGATGAATGATAAATTTCGGCCTAATAATATTGCCATCGATTGACGCCAAGAATGAAAAAGTCAAAATTCCTCTTTTGTTTAGTTTTCAGTTCCAACAAAAACCGAGGAGGCATATGCCTAATATACAGCGCCCTCCCTATACTGTTGTTGATGAAAAGTGAAGAGTGAATCGAGTGTTGGGGTAAAAAAGCAACAATATGATAAAAAGAAACAAAAAGCATTTAATAATGAAGAGCGAATCGATTCAAAATGTTGGAGTTGACGGATGCGATTAAGCTCCTCATGAAAAAGGACAGTTTACTATTGTTCTAATTCGAAACAGTGTAGTGCCTTGGTGTATCAAGTATGAGGCGCCTGGTGTGGATCAGAGCCAGTATTGCAGTAATGATCGGTACGACTAAATTGCTATTACCTCCTGCACGACGAGAATTTGCTCGGTCGTTCATTTGTTGATGATAAATCTACGAAAATGACGATAAAAATTTAATTAAATTGGCGTGTTTATCGTCGACCTTCTTCAACTCTCCATTTTAATTAAAGCAATTTTCTCACCTCTCCCTCTTTTTTCTTCTTGTTTTCCTTCCTTCTTTCCCTTCCCTCCTTTCTCCCCCATCTCTCTCCTTCTCTCTCTTGCTGTTTCTCTTTTTCTCTTTCTACGACCATATCATGTTGAAACACCGGTTCTCGTACGATGATCAAATTTACGCATCGTCGATTCTTGTTAGTATCTTGTTGGGTGACTACTTGGAAATGTCAGGTGCTATAAAATTGGATGTGCAGCTGGTGCAATGTATTATTGTTCGGAATTTGAAATCGGAGAGCTGAGTTCCAATTCCACTCGGGTTGCTTATCTTTTCCAATCAATCCGAGAGCTCCAAATACAACTGGGATTACTGATGTCTTCATGTGCCACATTTTTGAGATTTCGATTTCAAGATCCTTGTATTTTGATAGTTTTTTTTAAAGATCTTCAAAGATACATTACAATCTGCAGGGTCTACAATGTCAATAAGAAGGCATATTTTGGAGGTCTCGGGTCACAATGTCTGGACGATTAGCTTTCATTGTTCTCTGTGTATTGGGAAGTCCCATAAATTTGTTACAGAACCTATCTACTTAGCCAGGACGTCTACGTGGTGTTCATAACAATTTCTTGCATTATTATTTATGTATTTGCATTTTCACACACACTACCTAGGTAGCCACCATCGGGTATTAACAGCAAGACCCTGACCCCCACCTTTAATTTCAAACTCTTCCCTTCACACCCTCACTGACTTCAATGTTATTGTCTGTACAGTTTCCAAATCATCAAATCATTATCACAATATTTTGGGTCCAGTTTCAAGCGGACATGCTCCTATGGACATGATTCTAACTTTCATATTATATATCTTTCTCAGCACCCGGTCAAGGTCCTGCTGTTTCCATGTGCGTTTCAACGCCATAGCTTCCTCTTGTATCTCGTAAGTCCTTTCATCGTTAGCCACAATAATCAAATTAGAGCTTTCCGTAATCTCTTAATCCCAGACAGGTGGCATCGGTAATTTTGGAAAACGTTTTTTTCAATTTTCACTTTTACGTAGTTTGTCCTGATACATTGCCATGATTGAGAATTTCGTTTTTCCTTTCAGATTTTCTCTGCGTAGCCCTGACTTTCCTGCCGTGATAATTTTTTATTCAATTCTTACTTTCTTTCTATAGATTTTTTTTTTCTGGTTCCTTTTTTGGTTGCGTTCTTCAATTGCTTTCATTCGACGTTGTTCTATTTCTTCTCTTATTCTTTCGGGTAAGCTAAATAATATTTCCGTTCAATTGTTTTATCCGATTCTTTTTTTAGTTATCTGGACACCAGTCTTCGAAGCTGGTGATCCTTTCTTGCGTTCTTTCCCTTCTGTGTCGTCTCGAGGAGCTAAAAACTTTCTCTTCTATTGCATCTTTTCTGTCGCCTTATGACATACTAGCAGTAGAGCCCGGCGTTGCCCGGGGATGCAAGAGTAAGAGAGAGATTAAGTATCGACCATCATAAAGACTGAAAAATAAAATTGACAAAGATTATTGTTTAAGGTTGACGGACACGCTTGTCTTAATTAGTTTTTTTTTTTAAACACAAACTCAAGCAAAAACATTGTTTTCAATCGTTATGAGTCTACCGATTGAATAGAATTTTATTATAAACAATTGTCTTGTAAATGGAATTTTTAAAGCATTCTGAATGTAAAAATAAAGAAAAAAGTGTGCAAGACAATAAAAAACACTACCTGCCAAAAAAAGTGAAGTTTTGTTAAAATCGGTTGAAAAATGTAGGAAATCCGATCCAATATATAAACGTACAGACACACACACACACACAACCTGGGTTTTATAATAAGTATGATTATTGAATTTATTGAATAACATTCGAACACTATGATTCATAAACACCTTTATCTTCTTGCTCTTCTTCTTCTTCTTCTTCTTATTATTATTATTATTATTTGTGTTGAGATCATCTTTGACTCTTTGATGTTTCCGTCGAATGATGACGGTCATATTCCAGATATTCCCGTAGCTTAGAGATACACTTTCCTCAGTTGATGGGTTGTTCTATGCAGAGGTGCAACCTAAACACCCAATAATGTCAGGTATTCTCAAGGTAGATAGGCAGAGAGATCCCAGGAAATAATCTCTCGAGTTTACCAGCCACAATTTCAGCTGTTGCAGTATACATTTTCCCAGTTAGGTTTTATTATTAAATATTTTTTCTTTGATTAATATTAAGACGATTATTATTATTATTATTTGAGTGTGCTATGTTTCCAGCTTTGTATCCTGCAGAGTCGAGTCCAAAATATGGTCCTTAGGCCCTATAAAAGAATTGTCATTTAATTGATAGCACTTTCCTTCGTATATGGGGTATTCCTAGTAGGGCGATCTTGTGTTAGTAAAATTGCCCATTCTTTTTCTCACAAGGCCCAGAGCTCCGATTACTACTGGTACAGTCTCAGTCTTCATTCCCCACATCTTGTTAATATCGGTCCTAGTATTTGGACACTTTCTCAATAATATTCATGGAGGTGTTTCTCTGATGGTACTGCTATGTCAATAAGCATACATTTCCTGAATTTATTGTCTTTTATGATAATATCAGGTTTGTTGGTTTTTATTTCCCTGTCAATTTGAATTGGCATATAACAGAGGATAGTTATGTCGTTATTTTGTGTAACTATGTCTGGTTGGTACTCATACATTCTGAGCTGCAAAAATTAGGCCTTCTGTTTCAGCTTTCAAACTGGTGCTCCTCAGCCACTGATGTGTTTTCATGTTGGTTCGCATCTGCCTATTTCTTTCATTTTAGATATTGCCATACAACACTTTGTCCTCACAGTTTTTTTTGTCATTTAATTTGGCCAAATTGTTTTGCTTTCTGTTTTACTCCTTTGGCGTTGATGGTATTCGCTTCGTTTTTATTTGTTATGGTTTCAGGTATATTCTGCTGTTTCTTCAAGAGTGCAGCTTCTTTGTTGATGGAATGGATTTGGTGTTTTAATATTTGTAGGAGAGGGTCATTGGTTTGTGTGAGATATTTTTCTAATCCGAGTAGTTTTTAGAGTTAATTCAAATTGGATTAAAGCTCTTGGTATGTACAGCCTATCAACATCCTCAGTTGGGTCGTAAATACTCATTTGAGTAAGCATTTTTCTCATCTTGGCGTCCAATCTTTTAATGTCTCCTGTACTATTCTTTCCGGATCTTTTTCTTCATAATTGAATATTGTATTCCGTCTCCTTCATTAATTTCTAAATATTTATATGTACCATCTTAGTCTAGTTCCTTAATTTTGTTGTTGATATCAATGTATAAATCTGTTGTTTTCGTTATTTTACTGCCTTTGAAGGTGGCTTTGGCACATTTGTCGATAACGAACTACATCCTTCGCTGAAGGATTTGAAAATGGTGAGTAGGTTTTTCTGTTGGGTATCATTCTTGGCAAACGTTTTAAGATCATCAATATAGTTTCGGTGATTCAGTTTGCCATTCACTGACTTGTATACGTGGCTACTGTTCTTCAGTAGGCAGCTGAGTGGCGCTAATGTAAGCCAGAAGAGTAATCGTGATAATAAATCTCCTTGGAAGAATTTGATGTTGATTGGTCTCAGTGTTAATGACCCGTTTGTATAGTTTAGGTTTAGTCTTCCAGCCTTCCAGTTTTTCATGCTCTCCATTATGAATTTGATCGTTGTTGGGTATATTCTTTATATTTTTAGGCTCTTCTCTAGCCATGAGTGTGCAATACTCTCGACCGCCTTTTTATACTCGATCCATGCTATCGATACATTTCTTTTCCTTGGTTTTACTAATTTCAATAATGTTTTATTGATAATTAGTTGAACATTACACCCGTAACTTCATTTGTTACATCCCTTCTATTCTGCTGGGAATAAATTGTTTTTCTCAAGGAAGTTGTATGTTCTTCTTTTGGTTATGATAGAAATGTGCATCTTGTACATTGTGTGTTGGCAGGTGATGGGCCCATATTTCTTCCTAACTATCCACGTGAGCCATTTGGGGCATATTTCTGGGTTTAAGATTATATCATTTTATACCCGTGAGAGATCTTAGTGCATAGATAGTATTTTTTTATTCAATCTATTTCTGGTTCTTTCCAGTTTTTGGTTTTGTAGATGGCACCAGTTCTTTCAGTAATATTGATATCCGTCTATTTTTGTTACTCTACATGTGTGTGTGGTTCCTTTTGTTGCTTGATCCCTGTTGCTCTTTCGTTGTGAATTTTGCAGTTTTCCAACACCTTACACCAGAACTCCTCGACTTCCTGGATATTAGGTAGGTCATTTATCTCTATTTTTTTCCTAGTTCTCAATATAGTTTCTTGGCATCTTCTTTGAAGATCATGTTTTTCCAGAAGAATCTGTTTTTTTTTTTGTCGTAACACCTGATTCACTGTGCCTTCGCTTGAAATTTCTTGTTTCAGTTTCTCAGTTTGGAGAACTTGTCTTTTTCACTCAGAAGTGACAATTGTCCTCGTAGTTTATTCATTTCGCTTGCTATTTTTTCTTTCCAGACTGGCATTTTTATTTTTCGTTTACTTTGTGTTTTTATTTTTTCACCTATTGTTTCTGCTATCGTTACCGAGACAGCATTATTATTATTATTATTATTATTATTATTATTATTATTTTCATGTTCTTGTGTTTTTCTCTGTTTCATTGAATTTTCACAGCACTAGTAATATTGGTGCCTATTACTGGAGATCAATTAACGACATATGCTCCATTATTATTATTATTATTATTATTATTATTATTGCACAAATCATAAGATGAAGAAGAAGATATAATAATAATAATAATAATAATAATAATAATAATATCTTACCATGTTTTCATTCTCATCGATTTTCGTCTTTCATTTGGCTAATTAAAACAGCATGAAACAAAAGGAGAGTCGATGATAATGCGTTAGAGAAAAGACCAAGTGTAAACATATGTATTAGAGAGAGAGAGAGAGAGAGAGAGAGAGAACGAAAGAGAGAACGAGTGAAAGAGAGAGAGAGTAAAGATATTGGTTTCCACAAATGATGTCAACAAGGAATGATTTTGTGAAGATAGTAAAATTCAGATGAAAAAGAATTTTCAAAAGTCGATTTTCAGGAAAAAAAAACACATTTCCTCCTGCCATCGACCGCAGTCGAATACAGAGAGTCATGAACTCTATTAACCCTTTCCATGGCTGTATTTTATGCGCTTTACCAGGTTTTGAAACGAGAGTTGTCTTTCTTCTCAGCTGGTTGAAAAAAAACAACAAAAGAAACCTGTTATTTAACCCATACCTAGAGGGAGAAGAGGAGGATTCATACTTTTCCCAAGGGTATTTATTCGAAAGCGAATGTAACGAACAATCAGTCACATGAAATTGAAAAAAAAAAGCATTGTGCTGGCGTCTATAACTGCTGACCACAACGACTTAGAGATAATCAGCTTTTTATCAGTGGTCAGGTCCTTAAAGTCCAGAATCAGTAGCAAATTAGACACCTGTGGTGTGGTTGTGTCATTAGTGGTCAAAAGAAAGAAAGCATCTCAATGGTCACACATCGCTTTCTCGATCCTAGCAGCTAATCATTACACGAGATGCTTTAACCAAAGAAATGTTGAAATAGAAAAATATTGTTCGTCTTAGCATGATAAATAATAATGAGAATTGTATCCATGAACAGTAGAGGTAAACACTTGGATGAAGTAGAAATTCAAGGAATGGTTATGATTGTCTAGAACATTGCAGTGCTGGGGGTCTGCGAGATTACAGCAGAAGGTACTGGAAATTCTGAGAGGAAATCATGTCTGTCAGCCATTAACAATATCCACCCAACATATGGTGGGAAGAGGCAAATGCATATTAATAAAAATAATAATAATAAGTTGTAAGGATATTGAGCAAGTAACTTTATATTGCTGTTTTTCAATCCTTAGAGACAATTAGTAGAAACATCACAAATAATTGTGTGGATACATAGAAGACATTTTCAGCGAAAAATCGACTCACGAAAAGCAAACGATATATAGAACGAGGCCGAGTAAACCTGAGTAAAACATAAATTATAGGCTCTATGGAAATGAAGATGAGAAGTCAGCCCTATAGAATAAAAGAGTATAACTGCATAATGAATACGATCCACAAAGAACTGTGCAAACGAATACATTTTTTGATCACACAGGTCTCAATATGCACACAGTGACTTGAATACTAAGAGTTAGAAGGAGATCTGGTGTCATTAAGTTCTAGTTATTATTAGAATGAACATTCAATGAATAATAATAATAAAATAAGCACCCAGACATTGTTATTTAAGATCGCCAACAGAGAAAGTGACTCCTTAGTCATATGGCAGTATCTGCGAAGTGCAATGTATTTTGAAAATCTTCAAAAAGCTATCAAAATGCAAGGACATTGAAATCAAA